GGGGCCCCGCGAGCGCCTTGCGCCCAGATCCTGTCGCTGGGCGCCGGCTCGGACTCGCTGTATTTTCGCCTCAAAGCTGCAGGCCGCCTGTCCGGGGCTGCGGTCTGGGAGGTCGATTTTCCAGACGTGGCGCGGCGCAAAGCGGAGAGGATTAGAGACACGCCGGAACTGTGCGCGTTAACCGGGCCTTTCCGGAGCGGGGACCTTGCGTCAGCGCTGCGCTTTGAGAGTTCGGACTACCGCATCCTGGGCTTGGACTTGAGGCAGCTGGAGCGATTGGACCGGGCCCTGGCCGCCGCGGGCCTCGATGAAGCCGCACCCACTTTGCTCCTCGCTGAGGCCGTGCTGACCTACCTGGAACCGGATAATGCAGCGGCCCTCATCGCCTGGGCAGCCCAGCGTTTTCCTGATGCTCTTTTCGTGATCTACGAGCAGATGAGGCCGCATGACCCCTTTGGCCAGTTCATGCAGCAACATTTTCAGCAGCTCAATTCTCCTTTGCATGGCCTGGACCGCTTCCCCGACGTGGCGTCCCAGCAGCTCCGCTTCCTCCAGGCTGGCTGGACTGCCTGCAGGGCCATGGACATGAATGAATTCTATCGCTGCCTCCTGCCCGCAGAAGAACGTCGGCGCATGGAAAATCTTGAGCCCTTTGACGAGTTTGAGGAGTGGCATCTGAAGTGCGCCCACTATTTCATTCTGGCCGCTTCTAAGGGAGACACTCTCTCCCAAACTTGGGTGCTTTCACCCCCAGAGCTGTTTCCTCGGGTAGATCCCGCTTCCCCTTCCGGGACCCTCCTTGCCAAGGTGGTCACTAGTGACAGCCAGGGCCCACACTTTAAGAGATATGGCCACGCCTCTGTCCTCTTGAGCCCAGGCATTCTCAGCGCAGGTGGATTTGGAGAGCAGGAGGGGCGGCATTGCCGAATGAGCAAGTTTCACTTGCTCTCAAGATGCTGTGACTTTGAATGGAAAGGCAAACCAATAGGCAGTCGGGGGACTGAAGCTCAGTGGGATGGACGCCTTTATCACACCATGACGAGACTTTCCGATACTCAGGTTCTGGTTCTGGGAGGGAGACTGTCCCCAGTAACTCCAGCCTTGGGGATTCTCCAACTTCGTTTTTGTAAGAGTGAGGATGATAGCGCCGAGGATCTAAATGTAATGGTAACAAAAGCTGGCACAGAAGGAGATTCCACTTTGTCATGTTGGCGGCATTCAACAACACAAGTGTCCTATGAAAATCAGAAGTATTTGTTTGTCTATGGGGGCCGAAGTGTGGGGGAACCTGTATTGAGTGACTGGCATTTTCTACACGTGGGGACAATGACTTGGGTCAGGATCCCAGTGGAGGGGGAAGCACCTGAAGGTCGGCATTCCCACAGTGCCTGCAGCTGGCAAGGGGGAGCCCTTATTGCTGGAGGCCTGGGTGCTTCTGAGGAGCCATTGAGCTCTGTAGTCTTTCTGAAACCAACCACTTGTGGATTCCTCTGGGAATCAGTTGATATCCAGCCTCCCATTACCCCAAGGTATTCCCACACAGCTCATGTGCTTAATGGGAAGCTTCTACTGGTTGGAGGGGTCTGGATTCATTCCTCCTCAGTTCCCGGGGTGACTGTTATTGATCTGACTACAGGATTGAGCTCTGAGTATCAGATTGACACAACAGGTGTACCATGGCCACTAATGTTGCACAACCATACCAGCATCCTCCTTCCTGAAGAGCAACAGCTCCTGCTCCTTGGAGGTGGTGGGAACTGCTTTTCCTTTGGCACCTACTTCAACCCCCATACAGTAACATTAGACCTTTCTTCCCTGGGTGCTGGGCAGTAAGGACTGGACTTCTGATTTATTTAGGACCCACTAAAGTAGACAATAAAGGTTTCCACAAATAGGATTTGACGCCCCTCCTTTTATTTTATTTTATTTTATTTCGTTAGCACTATTATGTTAAAACACATACCATCAATCAGTTTGGCTACAGATATTACCCCACTCCACGCCCCTCCTTTTATTTTATTTTATTTATTTTATTTTATTTTATTTCGTTAGCACTATTATGTTAAAACACATACCATCAATCAGAGAGATGATACAAAAATAAAACATAAGTAGGCCTATCTTAAGAGAGTGGTCATACAGTCCTAGAGGAGGAATTGGGGCCTTTAGATCCCTATATCTAGTTGGTCTTCCTCCCATTTTCTAATCTGCATTTATCCACTTATTGAGTTATAGTGACTTTAACCTAAGTCAAGTGAAAAATTTCCCACTCCTATGCTTTGTGTTTTGAGGTGGTACTTTGGAAAAAGTTTCACACAGATCCTTGGTAAGAATCTAAAGTTGAATATAGTTGAAGGGGCATGATATTGATTTCATTCTTCATGTATGAAACCTAAAATGAACCCAGTTACAGTTTTTTTAAAGCATTGCGCTATTTAGTGCAGAAGAGAATTCTGGGATAGATTCAACAATGATCTTTATATAGGACTTTATTGGAAAATATGCTTTTCCATTTTTGTCACTGGTTCCATATTTATATAGATTTATGAGTGCTTTTAAATCAAACAATGGATGCTTCAACTCATTGTGTACATGATATGATAATGTTATGCTTCAGCTCTACTCTTCACCCTTAACTATGGTCTGTGCCCCAGGAGGCTGACATTCATGGACTATATCAATGAATTTTCTTGTCTTCTAGTTTCTGGTGAGTACTACCAGTCATAGGCACCAGAGGGAGATGTAGAACAGGAAGAGTGAGGCAGGGTATTCTCAGTGTTTCTCCTACTAGTCTGCAAGTTGGCAGAATCCCCCCCCCCCTTTTTTTTTTTATCAAAGGCCACAGCTTTTTCTCCATGTAATAAGGTATAGCTCTAATTCTGCATCACTCCAGGTTCCAGTAATTGTTCCTTCTTACCTCTTCAGGCCTAGGATTGTAATTGCTCTTTGCTAGACCTGAGCTGCACTGTTCAATATAGTAGCCATTAGCTATGTGACTATTTGAACTTAAATTAATAAAAATTAAATAAAATTAAGAATTCAGTGGCTTAGTTGCATTAACCACATTTTAAGTGCTCAGTAGCACATCCAACATGTCCCTAGATCTAGACCAGTGATGGCGAACCTTTTGAGCTCGGTGTGTCAGCATTTTGAAAAACCCTAACTTAACTCTGGTGCCGTGTCACATATAGAAATTTTTTGATATTTGCAACCATAGTAAAACAAAGATGTATATTTTTGATATTATTTTATATATTTAAATGCCATTTAACAAAGAAAAATCAACCAAAAAGTGAGTTCACGTGTCACCTCTGACACGCATGTCATAGGTTCGCCATCACTGATCTAGACACTGCTGAGGTACTTCACTATCTTGACTTGGCTTCCCTTAACCTTGCTCAGTCCTTTTCAATTAGTATATTCATTAAGCTTTCCTCAATTATCCCCTTTAAATGGACCATCTTTCATAGTAAACCTTGTGGAATCAATGAAATATCTTAGGTATTCATCCTTAAAATTTAAGCCTTAATTTCTCTAAATTGTGTCTCAAAAGGTAGTGGCTTTAGTGGTACTAAGTGAACCAGTTTAGTAGTCCTTGTTAGTCTTTAGTCCTTGAAAGCTTAATAATACCTTGAGATCCTACAGTACTATAAATTAACATCTTGATGGGCTATGGCACAGACTCCTCTCTTCCTAAATATTTTTATAACAACTTTGCATATATATGAATGTGAAAAGTGATTAATATAAAAACTGAGTAGCAAACACAAACCTAAGTGTATGGAGAAGGCAATGTTGGCTCTGTTAGATGAAGGCTCCCAGGAGAAGATAACCACTGTTTAGCTTCAGCTTCACTGAGATTGCAAGAGCCCTTTCAAGGGAAGTTGTTAGTTATGGTCATGAGAGAGTTCTGGGAAACAAGGCTGACTGCAGCTAGGCATCTGGCAAGATTATAGGTGGGCACTAGATTACTGCCAGGAATATGATCAGAAGAGGAAAAGGCTGCATGCTTTGTAATTCCTATCTTTAAGTTCACTACAGCCTACTTCCAACTTTCAGGAGCAGATCAAAGCAGAACGCTGATGAAATGAGTGCTCTCAGCTATGTAATAGTACCAGAATTCTAACCTAGAAATGACTCCAAGGCCCTGGGAACATCTGTAATGCTACCTTTTAGGTGGTGCCACCAACCATTATTATTTCATTACTTTTTTGTGGGGGAGGGGGGGTGGAGAAGGTGGTGCTGATGGTGAGGTGGTGTTAGGGGTGGTGGGTGGGGTGGAATCATAAAGAGAATGTGGATATGTGCCAGAGCCAAATTAGTAGTGGTACTAAGCCACTGGCCAGTATGGCACATTATGACTAATCAGGCTTGTTCCAGGAAAATTATCACATTTTCTGTAAGTGATTACCAGATTAAGCATGCCCTCCACCTCTAACCCGATACATGCATCATACTCAGGTAAGGAATTAGTCATCTCTCAAGCTCTACTCATTAGAGCACTTAGAAGTTTTGTCAACAACATTTACTATGTGCCTTTGGAACAGCGCTCTGTGTGGAGTGGTGCTGGATCCCAGTTTTATAACAGTAATCAGCAGTTAGAGATGTGGGCCAGATTGAGAACTCCAGTTGGACAATAATTTTTGCTTTTCCATTTCACCTCTGAATATTTTTGTTCTAAAATTCTGGAATGGAGCTCTAGGGTAGTTATGAGAGTTAAAGAAAGGCCTTTTCCTTGTTTAGTAATTGTACTTTTCTTTTTAAACCCTCACCTGAGGATATGTTTTTATTGATTTGAGAGGGGGGGGCGGGGGGGGGGAGACATTTATGTGAGAGAGAAACATTGATCAGTTGCCCTGACTGGGAATCAAACCTGAGACCTTTCGGTGTACAGGATGATGTTCCAACCAACCGAGCCCCACTGGCCAGGGTTGTACTTCTTTTTAGGCCAGAAAAATTAAGAAAGGGAGAGAATTTATTATGTTGAATTTACTGTCAGGGTCTCAAAAACAGTATCATACTAGTAAGGATATGAAGACAGATTAAGAAAAACTTTTGGAATATGTTCTTCAAAGGCCAGTGTTGCCATTTCCTTGTGTGCTTTTAGAATTTTACCACCAAATGTCAATTTTTCATTTTTCTACAGATTTAATCCTCCTTAGTGATGTTAGGAAGATGACATGCAACATGTGTTCCAGTGGCCAGGCACTGCCTTGGTCTTCTCTTTCAGTTGATTTCAGATCTTGAAAGTCTTGGTTTATTCCATGTGCATTTTGTGATTCCCAAACTTAACCTCAAATAGCCCCTCTGAGATGCCTAAATGACACCTCCTGGAAAATACTCCCATATGGCAGTCCCAAATGTAACCAACCACTGTGTTAAAGAAGCCTGTGCTCTTGGCAGAATCTGGTCAATAATAGAAGAACTAGTTACTAAGGTGAATTCCTACATCATGGGAACCAATAATGCCTAATGCCATATTAAAACTAAACTAAGCTTTTTGACTACAGTAATGAAGAAAGGGATATAAAATAGCATTAGGCTGGCAAAGTAGGTCATGAGTCCTGGATAATCACATTTGGACTTGATGTTTAAAAGAGAAGGAGATTATGTAGAGCACAAATTATGAAACTTATAATCAGCTTTAGAGTAGGTTAAGAGTTCCTTGGATATCAGTAATGATGTAAACAGTTCTGTCATTCCACAGTTTAGTTATAAGGCTGATTATTTTTCTTGGACAATGACATAAGCACTTGGTTGGGAAGGGGCAGTTTCTTGACTGAAGGAAGGAATTGTGTGTCTAGTTCACTTCTCTATCCCTGTCATAGTAGATGCTCAATAAATACCTGTTGGATTGAGGTCCAATCTGACACTCAAATACATTACATTTCAATATTACTATTTTGCCTACCATGCACAAGCAGATGTCAAAAGTCCTTTAATTACTGTGTGTGTGTGTGTGCGTGTGTGTGTGTGTGTGTGTGTGTGAGTATTCAAGTTTTAAAGACCCCTATTTAAGAGTTTTTAAAATTCAACTGCTTTGCCCTGGCTGGTGTAGCTCAGTTGATTGAGCTTAGTCCCATGCACAAAAAGGTCTCTGGTTCAATTCCTGGTCAGGCATATACCTGGGTTGCAGGCTCAATCTCCAGTAGGGTGTGTGCAAGAAGCAGCTGATCAATGTTTTTCTCTCTCATGCTCTCTCTCCTCCTCTCCTCTCCTCTCCTCTCCTCTCCTCTCTTCTCCTCTCCTCTCTTCTTTTCCCTCTCCTCTCTCTTCTCCTCTCTCCTCTCTTCCCTCTCCTCTCTCCTCTCCTCTCCTCTCCTCTCCTCTCCTCTCCT